ATAGAGAGGGATAACCGCCCACGGAGGGCCAAAGGTGAGTGGAATTTTTATATATACATACACACAGACTATTTCATATCATGTTTTCACATTTTTAGTTGTTGTAATTATCTCCTAATGTCACAATCGTTTACAACATCATGTTCTTAAAACAGTTGTAAAATAGTCCATAATGTCTCCTCATGTTTGAGGCTCGGAAAGTTCTTTTAAAGAGCGTATACAGGAGTACACTAATATCATGAACGCACTCTGGGCACTAACAGGAGTCCAGTCCCTGTGCTCCTCAGAGTCCCAGCAGGAGTCCAGTCCCTGTGCTCCTCAGAGTCCCAGCAGGAGGCCAGTCCCTGTGCTCCTCAGAGTCCCAGCAGGAGTCCAATCCCTGTGCTCCTCAGAGTCCCAGCAGGAGGCCAGTCCCTGTGCCCCTCAGAGTCCCAGCAGGAGTCCAGTCCCTGTACTCCTCAGAGTCCCAGCAGGAGGCCAGTCCCTGTGCTCCTCAGAGTCCCAGCAGGAGTCCAGTCCCTGTGCTCCTCAGAGTCCCAGCAGGAGTCCAGTCCCTGTGCTCCTCAGAGTCCCAGCAGGAGGCCAGTCCCTGTGCTCCTCAGAGTCCCAGCAGGAGTCCAATCCCTGTGCTCCTCAGAGTCCCAGCAGGAGTCCAGTCCCTGTGCTCCTCAGAGTCCCAGCAGGAGTCCAGTCCCTGTGCTCCTCAGAGTCCCAGCAGGAGGCCAGTCCCTGTGCTCCTCAGAGTCCGGGCTGGTTCATATGGGACTAACATGTCACTAATATATTTTGGTGCGAGGCCATGGAGAGACTTGTAACAAGCAGAGCTGTTTTAAAGTCTATTCTCTGAGCCACAGGAAGCCAGTGCAGAGACCTGAGGACTGGACTAATGTGGTCCTACTTCCTGGTTCTAGTCAGGACTAATGTGGTCGTACTTCCTGGTTCTAGTCAGGACTAATGTGGTCGTACTTCCTGGTTCTAGTCAGGACTAATATGGTCGTACTTCCTGGTTCTAGTCAGGACTAATGTGGTCGTACTTCCTGGTTCTAGTCAGGACTAATATGGTCGTACTTCCTGGTTCTAGTCAGGACTAATGTGGTCGTACTTCCTGGTTCTAGTCAGGACTAATGTGGTCGTACTTCCTGGTTCTAGTCAGGACTAATGTGGTCGTACTTCCTGGTTCTAGTCAGGACTAATGTGGTCATACTTCCTGGTTCTAGTCAGGACTAATATGGTCGTACTTCCTGGTTCTAGTCAGGACTAATGTGGTCGTACTTCCTGGTTCTAGTCAGGACTAATATGGTCGTACTTCCTGGTTCTAGTCAGGACTAATGAGGTCGTACTTCCTGTTTCTAGTCAGGACTAATGTGGTCGTACTTCCTGGTTCTAGTCAGGACTAATGTGGTCGTACTTCCTGGTTCTAGTCAGGACTAATGTGGTCGTACTTCCTGGTTCTAGTCAGGACTAATATGGTCGTACTTCCTGGTTCTAGTCAGGACTAATGTGGTCGTACTTCCTGGTTCTAGTCAGGACTAATATGGTCGTACTTCCTGGTTCTAGTCAGGACTGGAGCTGCTGCATTTTGAATGTACTGCAGCTGTTTTACAGCCTGTTTGGACAGACCTGTGAGCAGGCCATTGCAGTAGTCTAACCTACTGGAGACAAATGCATGGATAAGAATCTCCAGGTCTGCTTTAGACACTATGTTTTTGATCCTGGCAATGTTTTTTAGATGGTAAAAAGCTGCTGATGTTACTGATTTGATGTGGCTATTAAAATTTAAGTCTGAGTCCAGTATTACCCCTAGATTTCTGACCTTGTTTGAAGGTTTTAGGGAGAGAGACTGTAGGTGACAGATGACGCTCTCTCTTTGTTTCTGGGGACCAAAGACAATCATTTCAGTTTTGTCTGCGTTTAGCTGAAGGAAGTTGTTTTGCATCCACTCACTGATCTGTTGGATACAGTGAAGGAGTGAGTCCACTGGTCCATGTTCTCCTGCAGTCAGTGAGACATAGATCTGAGTGTCGTCTGCATAGTTATGATAGGAAACTTTGTTTCTGCGTATTAACTGACCTAACGGCAGCATGTAGAGATTGAACAGAAGAGGTCCCAGGATCGACCCCTGTGGGACTCCACAGGTCAGGGCCATATGATCTGAGACACAGTTTCCAATCTCCACAAAGTACTTTCTGTCTTCAAGGTAAGACCTAAACCAACTTAGGGCGGTGCCAGCGACGCCAACCCAGTCCTCTAGTCTCTGTAAGAGGATCTCATGGTCGACGGTGTCAAAGGCAGCACTTAGATCTAACAGGATTAAGATTGAGACTTTGCCTGCGTCAGTGTTCAGCCGGATATCGTTTGTAACCTTAACGAGAGCAGTCTCAGTGCTGTGGTGGGGTCTAAAGCCGGACTGAAACATATCAAATGAGTTGTTGATTATAAGAAATCTAGTAAGCTGTAGGTAGACAACTTTCTCAAGGACTTTCCCCATAAATGGCAGATTTGAGATGGGACGATAGTTGTTAAGTACCGTAGCATCGAGACTGCTCTTTTTTAGCAGGGGCCTGATGACTGCAGTTTTCAGGGCCTTTGGGAATATTCCAGAATGAAGGGACATGTTTACTATCTGTGTGAGTGAAGGTAACAGACTGCTCAGAACAGACTTCAGAAATCTAGTGGGTAGTACATCCAGGCTGCATGTGGAGGAGCTCAAACTGGAGATTATCTCTTGGACAGTTTGATCATTTACAGGTGCAAAGTGAGTTAGCTCAAAGAGCCTTTTTGGCTGTTGGATGGTTATCTGTGGATTGGAGACAATGGCGTTTTTGATGCCTTGAACCTTGTCATTGAAAAAATTTGCAAACTCATTACATTTACGTTTGGAAGTTAGCTCTAATGGCATTTGAACAGGGGGGTTTGTTAATCTATTAACCGTTGAAAACAGAACACGCAGATTGTTGCTGCAGCCTTCAATCATTTCAGAAAAATACCAATACAGCCTAGCTGTTACTAGCCTAGCTGTTACTAGCCTAACTGTTACTAGACTAGCTGTTACTAGCCTAGCTGTTACTATCCAAGCTGTTACTAGCCTAACTGTTACTAGCCTAACAGTTACTAGCCTAACTGTTACTAGCCTAGCTGTAGCTAGCCTAGCTGTTACTAGCCTAGCTGTAGCTAGCCTAGCTGTTACTAGCCTAGCTGTTACTAGCCTAGCTGTAGCTAGCCTAGCTGTTACTAGCCTAGCTGTAGCTAGCCTAGCTGTTACTAGCCTAGCTGTTACTAGCCTAGCTGTTACTATCCAAGCTGTTACTAGCCTAACTGTTACTAGCCTAGCTGTTACTAGCCTAGCTGTAGCTAGCCTAGCTGTTACTATCCAAGCTGTTACTAGCCTAGCTGTAGCTAGCCTAACAGTTACTAGCCTAACTGTTACTAGCCTAACTGTTACTAGCCTAGCTGTTACTAGCCTAGCTGTAGCTAGCCTAGCTGTTACTAGCCTAGCTGTTACTAGCCTAGCTGTAGCTAGCCTAGCTGTTACTATCCAAGCTGTTACTAGCCTAACTGTCACTAGCCTAGCTGTTACTAGCCTAGCTGTAGCTAGCCTAGCTGTTACTAGCCTAGCTGTAGCTAGCCTAGCTGTTACTATCCAAGCTGTTACTAGCCTAGCTGTAGCTAGCCTAACAGTTACTAGCCTAACTGTTACTAGCCTAGCTGTAGCTAGCCTAGCTGTTACTAGCCTAGCTGTAGCTAGCCTAGCTGTTACTAGCCTAGCTGTTACTAGCCTAGCTGTAGCTAGCCTAGCTGTTACTATCCAAGCTGTTACTAGCCTAACAGTTACTAGCCTAGCTGTTACTAGCCTAGCTGTAGCTAGCCTAGCTGTTACTATCCAAGCTGTTACTAGCCTAGCTGTAGCTAGCCTAGCTGTTACTAGCCTAACTGTTACTAGCCTAGCTGTAGCTAGCCTAGCTGTTACTAGCCTAGCTGTAGCTAGCCTAGCTGTTACTAGCCTAACTGTTACTAGCCTAGCTGTAGCTAGCCTAGCTGTTACTAGCCTAACTGTTACTGGCCTAACTGTTACTAGCCTAGCTGTTACTAGCCTAACTGTTACTAGCCTAGCTGTAGCTAGCCTAACTGTTACTAGCCTAGCTGTTGCTAGCCTAGCTGTTAGTAGCCTAGCTGTTAGTAGCCTAGCTGTAGCTAGCCTAACTGTTAGTAGCCTAGTTGTAGCTAGCATAACTGTCTAGCCACGTCACAGCAAAACCTTTGGGAACTATTTCTTATATAATGTAAAACACATGATGCCCATTACAGAGTCATATATAAAGGGCTGTCTAAGATTGTTTCAAATATATATATATATATATATATATATATGTTTAATATACTGTATACAAATATCAAAGTTCAAAGTCAAAGTCCTAAAGTTTATTAAAAAAAGCTATACAAGGACTTGTGTTCGCTCTTGAAATCCTTACATTTTATAACTTGTTATTACATATTATTACATATTATTACATATTATTACATGTTATTACATGTTATTACATGTAATAACATGTTATTACATGTTATTACATGTTATTACATGTTATTACATGTTATTACATGTTATTAGATGTTATTACATATTATTACATGTTATTACATGTTATTACATATTATCACATGTTATTACATGTTATTCTTGTGTACGTCCAGAAGCATTTAACTCAACTACTACAAATTAATGTGTTTTACTTGTAGGTGTTATTTCACATTAGTATAAAGGCATGAACAAGTGAATACACAGCATTGGTCGATATCTGACCCTGCAACAAGGCTACAGTGTAGTAACAGTGTAGTAACAGTAGTAACAGTGTAGTAACAGTGTAGTAACAGTGTAGTAACAGTGTAGTAACAGTAGTAACAGTGTAGTAACAGTAGTAACAGTGTAGTAACAGTAGTAACAGTGTAGTAACAGTGTAGTAACAGCAGTATTCTTTCATAAAGCCTGGAGAAGGAGGATCTCAGTCACTGCTGCTGCTGCTGCTGCTGCTGCTGCTGCTGCTCGAGGACTGCAACAAAACAAAGTGAATTAAATGTATGAAATCAATTAAACACGATAATGAGACATTTACTTGTGTGAAAATGTGAAATAATTTGTCCAGTAGAAAATATGCAGTGGATCAAGCATCGAGGGGAAATGATGCTATCGCCTGCACTACCCCCTGCTACCACCAGAGGGAGGAGTTAGCTCTGAAAATACAGCTGTGTGACTGATGACAGAACCCTGCTGCTGTGTGACTGATGACAGAACCCTGCTGCTGTGTGACTGATGACAGAACCCTGCTGCTGTGTGACTGATGACAGAACCCTGCTGCTGTGTGACTGATGACAGAACCCTGCTGCTGTGTGACTGATGACAGAACCCTGCTGCTGTGTGACTGATGACAGAACCCTGCTGCTGTGTGACTGATGACAGAACCCTGCTGCTGTGTGACTGATGACAGAACCCTGCTGCTGTGTGACTGATGACAGAACCCTGCTGCTGTGTGACTGATGACAGAACCCTGCTGCTGTGTGACTGATGACAGAACCCTGCTGCTGTGTGACTGATGACAGAACCCTGCTGCTGTGTGACTGATGACAGAACCCTGCTGCTGTGTGACTGATGACAGAACCCTGCTGCTGTGTGACTGATGACAGAACCCTGCTGCTGTGTGACTGATGACAGAACCCTGCTGCTGTGTGACTGATGACAGAACCCTGCTGCTGTGTGACTGATGACAGAACCCTGCTGCTGTGTGACTGATGAGAGAACCCTGCTGCTGTGTGACTGATGACAGAACCCTGCTGCTGTGTGACTGATGAGAGAACCCTGCTGCTGTGTGACTGATGACAGAACCCTGCTGCTGTGTGACTGATGACAGAACCCTGCTGCTGTGTGACTGATGACAGAACCCTGCTGCTGTGTGACTGATGACAGAACCCTGCGGCTGTGTGACTGATGACAGAACCCTGCTGCTGTGTGACTGATGACAGAACCCTGCTGCTGTGTGACTGATGACAGAACCCTGCTGCTGTGTGACTGATGACAGAACCCTGCTGCTGTGTGACTGATGACAGAACCCTGCTGCTGTGTGACTGATGACAGAACCCTGCTGCTGTGTGACTGATGACAGAACCCTGCTGCTGTGTGACTGATGACAGAACCCTGCTGCTGTGTGACTGATGACAGAACCCTGCTGCTGTGTGACTGATGACAGAACCCTGCTGCTGTGTGACTGATGACAGAACCCTGCTGCTGTGTGACTGATGACAGAACCCTGCTGCTGTGTGACTGATGACAGAACCCTGCTGCTGTGTGACTGATGACAGAACCCTGCTGCTGTGTGACTGATGACAGAACCCTGCTGCATGTTAAGGTCTGAAGCGTTATGTGACATCACCTTTCCTCCGTGTTTGTGTCCGTGTCCCTTCTTCATCTTCTTCAACTTCTTCAACTTCTTTTGGCCTTTGTGTCCTATTCCTCCTGCTGCAAACCCCATTGGAAACCCCCCTCCACCCACGGGATACCCCATGCCCCCCATGGGGAACCCCCCCCCACTGTGATGGCCCTTGTGGTCTTTGTGGCCCTTGTGGTCTTTGTGGCCCTTGTCTTTGTGGCCCTTGTGGTCTTTGTGGCCCTTGTGAGGCCCTTTGGGGGAGTGTGGGTAGGATCCAGGGGGGACACATCCGCCTGGACCTGCAGGAAAGAGGCCCCCAGGGGCCCCGTAAGGCATGGCTGCAGGGAACAGATTGGGGGTCATCCCTGCAGGGTACTGAGCTGAGTAACCCGGCTGTGGGAAGGCCCCTGGAGCAGTGGGGGGGTAGGCCCCTGGAGCAGTGGGGGGGTAGGCCCCTGGAGCAGTGGGGGGGTAGGCAGGGTTATACCCGGGGGGGAAGGCAGGGTTCGGGGGACATCCTGGACCTGTGAGAAAAACATCACATTATGTCATTTTAGAAATATAATATAGTATAATATATACATAATAACAGAATCATTGGATGAATGTGAGCTGGAGGCAGGTGTTGAACTTAAAAGGTCCAAATGTAGATCATTGTGTGAATATGATCCTTATATTAACTAACCCACAGAGACAGAGCCAGGGGCCGGGGCCAGGGCCAGAGGCAGAGACAGAGGCAGAGGCAGAGGCAGAGGCAGAGGCAGAGGCAGAGACAGAGACAGAGGCAGAGGCAGAGACAGAGACAGAGACAGAGACAGAGACAGAGGCAGAGGCAGAGACAGAGACAGAGACAGAGGCAGAGGCAGAGACAGAGACAGAGGCAGAGGCAGAGGCAGAGGCAGAGACAGAGACAGAAGCAGAGACAGAGACAGAGACAGAGACAGAGACAGAGACAGAGAGAGACAGAGACAGAGGCAGAGACAGAGGCAGAGACAGAGACAGAAGCAGAGACAGAGACAGAGGCAGAGACAGAGACAGAGGCAGAGACAGAGCCAGGGGCCGGGGCCAGGGCCAGAGGCAGAGGCAGAGGCAGAGACAGAGACAGAGACAGAAGCAGAGACAGAGACAGAGACAGAGACAGAAGCAGAGACAGAGACAGAGACAGAAGCAGAGACAGAGACAGAGACAGAGCAGAGACAGAAGCAGAGACAGAGGCAGAGACAGAGGCAGAGAAGCAGAGGCAGAGACAGAGGCAGAGACAGAGACAGAGACAGAGACAGAGGCAGAGACAGAGACAGAGACAGAGCAGAGACAGAGACAGAGGCAGGGCAGGGCAGAGACAGAGACAGAGACAGAGGCAGAGACAGAGACAGAGCAGGGGCCGGGGCCAGAGGCAGAGGCAGAGGCAGAGACGAGAAGCAGAGACAGAGAGAGAGACAGAGCAGAGACAGAGACAGAGACAGAGACAGAGAGCAGAGACAGAGACAGAGGCAGAGACAGAGACAGAAGCAGAGACAGAGACAGAGACAGAAGCAGAGACAGAGACAGAGACAGAAGCAGAGACAGAGACAGAGACAGAGACAGAGGCAGAGACAGAGACAGAGACAGAGGCAGAGACAGAGACAGAGACAGAAGCAGAGACAGAGACAGAGACAGAGGCAGAGACAGAGCCAGGGGCCGGGGCCAGGGCCAGAGGCAGAGGCAGAGACAGAGACAGAGGCAGAGACAGAGACAGAAGCAGAGACAGAGGCAGAGACAGAGACAGAGACAGAGACAGAGACAGAAGCAGAGACAGAGACAGAGACAGAGACAGAAGCAGAGACAGAGGCAGAGACAGAGACAGAAGCAGAGACAGAGACAGAGACAGAGGCAGAGACAGAGGCAGAGACAGAGGCAGAGGCAGAGACAGAGACAGAGACAGAAGCAGAGACAGAGACAGAGACAGAGACAGAGGCAGAGACAGAGACAGAGACAGAGACAGAGACAGAGGCAGGGGCCAGGGCCAGAGGCAGAGGCAGAGGCAGAGGCAGAGACAGAAGCAGAGACAGAGGCAGAGGCAGAGACAGAGACAGAGGCAGAAGCAGAGACAGAGACAGAGACAGAAGCAGAGACAGAGACAGAGACAGAGGCAGAGACAGAGGCAGAGACAGAGACAGAGACAGAGGCAGGGGCCAGGGCCAGAGGCAGAGGCAGAGGCAGAGGCAGAGACAGAGACAGAAGCAGAGACAGAGGCAGAGGCAGAGACAGAGACAGAGGCAGAAGCAGAGACAGAGACAGAGACAGAAGCAGAGACAGAGACAGAGGCAGAGACAGAAGCAGAGACAGAGACAGAGACAGAAGCAGAGACAGAGACAGAGACAGAAGCAGAGACAGAGACAGAGACAGAGACAGAGGCAGAGACAGAGACAGAGACAGAGGCAGAGACAGAGGCAGAGACAGAGACAGAGACAGAGACAGAGACAGAGACAGAGGCAGAGACAGAGCCAGGGGCCGGGGCCAGGGCCAGAGGCAGAGGCAGAGACAGAGACAGAGACAGAAGCAGAGACAGAGACAGAGACAGAAGCAGAGACAGAGACAGAAGCAGAGACAGAGGCAGAGACAGAGACAGAAGCAGAGACAGAGACAGAGACAGAGACAGAGGCAGAGACAGAGGCAGGGGCAGAGACAGAGACAGAAGCAGAGACAGAGACAGAGGCAGAGACAGAGACAGAGACAGAGACAGAGGCAGGGGCCAGGGCCAGAGGCAGAGGCAGAGGCAGAGACAGAGACAGAAGCAGAGACAGAGGCAGAGGCAGAGACAGAGACAGAGACAGAGGCAGAAGCAGAGACAGAGACAGAAGCAGAGACAGAAGCAGAGACAGAGACAGAAGCAGAGACAGAGACAGAGACAGAAGCAGAGACAGAGGCAGAGACAGAGACAGAGGCAGAGGCAGAGGCAGAGACAGAGACAGAGACAGAGGCAGAGGCAGAGGCAGAGACAGAGGCAGAGAGGCAGAGACAGAGACAGAGACAGAGACAGAGACAGAGGCAGAGACAGAGAGGCAGAGACAGAGACAGAGACAGAGGCAGAGACAGAGACAGAGACAGAAGCAGAGACAGAGACAGAGACAGAGACAGAGACAGAGACAGAGACAGAGACAGAGACAGAGACAGAGGCAGAGACAGAGACAGCAGAGACAGAGACAGAAGCAGAGACAGAGACAGAGACAGAAGCAGAGACAGAGACAGAGGCAGAGACAGAGACAGAGACAGAAGCAGAGACAGAGACAGAGACAGAAGCAGAGACAGAGACAGAGGCAGAGACAGAGACAGAGACAGAAGCAGAGACAGAGACAGAGACAGAGGCAGAGACAGAAGCAGAGACAGAGACAGAGACAGAGACAGAAGCAGAGACAGAGACAGAGACAGAGGCAGAGACAGAGGCAGAGACAGAGACAGAGGCAGAGACAGAGACAGAGGCAGAGACAGAGACAGAGACAGAAGCAGAGACAGACAGAGACAGAGGCAGAGACAGAGGCAGAGACAGAGGCAGAGACAGAGACAGAGACAGAGGCAGAGACAGAGACAGAGGCAGAGACAGAGACAGAGACAGAGACAGAGGCAGAGACAGAGACAGAGGCAGAGGCAGAGACAGAGACAGAAGCAGAGACAGAGGCAGAGACAGAGACAGAAGCAGAGACAGAGGCAGAGACAGAGGCAGAGACAGAGACAGAAGCAGAGACAGAGACAGAGACAGAGACAGAGACAGAGGCAGGGGCCAGGGCCAGAGGCAGAGGCAGAGACAGAGACAGAGACAGAGACAGAGACAGAGACAGAGGCAGAGGCAGAGACAGAGACAGAAGCAGAGACAGAGGCAGAGGCAGAGGCAGAGACAGAGACAGAGACAGAAGCAGAGACAGAGACAGAGACAGAAGCAGAGACAGAGACAGAGACAGAGGCAGAGACAGAGACAGAGACAGAAGCAGAGACAGAGACAGAGACAGAGACAGAGGCAGAGACAGAGACAGAGGCAGAGACAGAGAGCAGAAGCAGAGACAGAGACAGAGGCAGAGACAGAGACAGAGGCAGAGACAGAGGCAGAGACAGAGACAGAGGCAGGGGAGACAGAGGCAGAGACAGAGACAGAGACAGAGACAGAGACAGAGGCAGGGCAGACAGAGGCAGAGACAGAGGCAGAGGCAGAGGCAGAGGCAGAGGCAGAGGCAGAGACAGAGACAGAGCAGAGCAGAGACAGAGACAGAGACAGAGACAGAGGCAGAGACAGAGGCAGAGACAGAGACAGAGACAGAGACAGAAGCAGAGACAGAGACAGAGACAGAAGCAGAGACAGAGGCAGAGGCAGAGACAGAGACAGAGACAGAGACAGAGACAGAGACAGAGGCAGAGACAGAGACAGAGACAGAGACAGAGACAGAGACAGAGGCAGAGACAGAGACAGAGGCAGAGACAGAAGCAGAGACAGAGACAGGGGCAGAGACAGAGGCAGAGACAGAGGCAGAGACAGAGACAGAGGCAGGGGCAGAGACAGAGGCAGGGGCAGAGACAGAGACAGAGACAGAGACAGAGGCAGGGGCCAGGGCCAGAGGCAGAGGCAGAGGCAGAGGCAGAGGCAGAGGCAGAGACAGAGGCAGAGACAGAGGCAGAGACAGAGACAGAGACAGAGGACAGAGACAGCAGAGACAGTAGAGACAGAGGTGGTATGTTTAGACCAGTGTCTCCCAAAGTGGGGTCCGCGGCCCCCTGGTGGGCCGCGAGGGTACTGCAGGGGGGCCGCGGAAGGTCATAAAAAAAATTAAAAAATAATATAATTATTTAATGTTAAATGTATAATGTTTTGTTTGTAATATTAAAATATTTGTGTTCATTATTTGACTTGAATAAGCCACTGTAATCATTTTTGTATTACAATGTTTGTAGCAGAGGCTATTTCCCCAAAATAAAATAACCAGAAGAGCCTATTCTTAATGTTGTCTTCTTGGTTATTATTTTGGGGGGCCACGTAGACCCGTCAGATTTTTAAGGGGGCCTCGGTGTTACTGAGTTTGGGAATGGCTGGTCTAGACAAATCAGACATGAACATTTCCTGTGGAGTCACAGACATTTGCTTTAAACAAGAGGAGGGTCTTTGGAACACAGTGATGTCACAGAGCACTAGAGAAAAGAATGGTCCAGCAGCAGGGGGCGCTATGGTCCGAGGGACCACTGCCACCATCAAAGTGTTCAAACTAAACGTTTACCTTGGTTCGGCCACATGTTTGTGCTGAAGTCTCTGAAAGACACAAAGGGACAAAGAGTAACTGCTGATGTTTATGTTAAAAACTTTATTATTCTAAATTTACGCTGATAAATGTCACCAGAGCAGTAACGCGGTACTTACAGCTGTCTCTGGACCTGGTCTGAGTCTGGGCCTGGTCATATCCTGGACCTGGTCTGAGTCTGGACCTGGTCTGATCCTCTGATCCGGGATCTGCAGAGACTTGATTGTTTTGCTTCCGCGTTGAGAAGTGAAAAACTGTGCGGCCCCGCCCCCTGTGAAGGCTGTGACGTAATAGTGTTTGGTATGTGTTGCTTTGTTTCTTGCATTTTGCAAATACACATTTATACAGACGGACCCGCCCCTCTGACGTCACACATAATGACGTTCTCTTTCCACTGGATCCTTTCATGTGTTCTAAGACTATAGAGTATAGTTACTTAAGTACAGTAGGTCTACTCAGGTATTTGTGCTGCTGATGTTTGTGGGTTTTAAAGGCGCTGCTTAAGTATATTTCACTAAATGTATTTTACACTGTACTTCTCACTTTGAGGTAAAAAGGAGGACTTTCTACTTCCCGGTGGATCATCAAGACTATTGGTCCTCCCAACTGTCGATCATTCTGGTGATTCTGCTCGTCCAATAAGAGCAGAGAGTTTGGGTCAGGAGTGGAGAGGGCGGGTCTTTCATAACGTTTGTTATTTATCCTTCTATAGATACTTCTGTAGCCTGTGGTTTCTAATTCTCTCATGGTCCCTGTAAGGGACCGATGGTGTAGCAGGAAACACACAAACTGTTTAATTACTAAGGCTTTTTAATTAGCCAAAAAATGAGCCAAACAATACAAATAAATGAGGCCAAAATCAAATGTACAACTGAACATGACAAACACTGACCTAACACAAGACACACCAGGGGAACATTTAAGCTGGATGATCAGACCAACTATTAACTAAAGGGGGTAAACAAGACTACACAAAACAGATACATTGACTTAACTAATTAAGGATAAAGTTAATAGTAATAATATGACTAATAATAATAATAATAATTCCGTATAAAGGCGCTTGCACACTGGGTCCGTTCTTCGTCCGTTTTTTTCGTGCGAAATTGTCGCACGAAAAAAAAAAAACTAACCCACGCTATGTCAATTACGCTTGCACACCGACTCCGAAATATTCGTCCGACATTCAATTTTTCGGAACAGCTTCGTTTTTTTACGAATTTTCGTTCCGTCATATGCCGGTCATGCGCCTTTTGAGGGTTGTTGTCCATAGCGAGCCGCCGTAGGTAAACATGGCATCGGAGCGGCTCATTCATTTGGTCTCCCAGCAAAAGCCACTTTATGATAAAGAAAGCAGTGATTATAAAGATGCTGAGCTAAAGGACAAAATATGGCAGGAGATCGCGGAGCAGCTTGGAATCGGGGACGGTATGTATTGGTTTATAGGCAGCTAAAAACAGCTATTATCATGTTAGCGCTAGCGTGGAAAACTAGCAGCCGGCAGCCAAGCTAGCCAGCGAATGAATGATTACATTAGGTACTTCAAGGCTTTAGTGGTGAATATAGAGATTCATGGAGGTATATTCTGTGTTGCCCCCCCCCCTCACTGATTAATGAGGGGCTGGGTTTCACTTGGCTAAAAGGTCAGTGGGCCCGACGGGTCACATAAGTGGCTTATAAAGCAAAGCAAACTCATTGCAAAGTTCACCCATCTCTTGGAAATGAGTTTACTCACGTACTATCAATAAATAGAATAATAACGTAGGCCACCTACGTGCCTACTTTTAACATATGTGCTTTGTGCTGTATTATTAGTTTATATTAGTTTGCCCTGTGCTAATGTTATCCATTGACTATAATAATTGTACGATGTGATTAAACATGGTTGCTGGCTGACTACAATACTATAACTTCTTTACATAATTCTAAATTCTGTCCAGGATATCAAAATAATCATTAATAATAAATATATCTTATAATTCACTTCATACATTGATTAGAGTGATACCATAGACCACACATACATTGCCACTTTTAACAAATGTGTCTTGTTTTGTATTAGTCGAAGCAGTGAAGAAAATGTGGTGGAACCTGCGAGATACCTACGTCCGCAACAAAAGAGATGGACAGGGCAGGAGTGGACAAGCTGCCATTAAGAAGAAGAAGTGGAAGTATATGGACGTAATGGCTTTCCTTCAATCTTCCACAACAAAGAGAAGGTATCATCTACTGTAAAATAGAATAGCAAAGAGCAGTTCAATATACAGTATAATTTCATTACACAAGTTACTTTTCACCAGGTCAGATAGTAATATTGAGATGGAGGAAGAGGAGGAGGAAGAAATTGAGGGAGAGGTCAGCACTGAAATAGTGAGGGCCAGCGATGAAGAGGGAGTTCCAGAGATGGAGAACAGCTCAGGCTCAGCTTCTTCCAGTAGCAGCGGTGCCAAGCGCAAGAAGAGAGTAGATAGTGAAGACAGCATTGGGAGGTACCTTCAGTGGAAAGAAGAGAGAGAGAAAGTGAGAGAAGAGGAGAGGGAGAGAGAGCGGCAGCATCGCGGTGGCCTGTTTTCTCTCTAGCTTGGCTCCCGCTTTGAGGAGACTCACCCCACAAAAACTCTCCTATCTCAAGATCAGAATGCAGGAACTTGTACATCACGTTGCCTTTGATACCCTCTATCAGCAGGAACCAAACTTCTTTCACCTGTGATTTTTTTAATGGTTTAATTATTTATTGTAATGACTGTATATATTTATGTAAATAATAATATTTGCACCAGTTCTTCTGATTCTCCTGCAGGGGGGTGAGTCCACAGGGGGATGGCGTCTTCTGTCCATGGTAATGTGATAGTAAAGAATTATTTATTGATTACTGTATTTTATGAATGTTGTTTCACGATTGTACTGTTTTAAATGAAAATGCAAATTAAAAGAGAAACAAATGGATTTGTTTTTTTCTTTTTATTTTAAATGTATAACAATGCTGATCTAGTTTTAATTACTGTTCTATAATGGATTTCCATGGAGTCCACGGCGCACACGGCTATACTGCCATGGTAGCTCGCCAGCAGGTGAGGTGAAATACTTTTTAAGGGTGTCACGAATGCCCAGAGCCTCTGCAGATGCCCGGTTTCCCCTTGGCCTCTGGAGGTCCAGCAGACAGGGGTTGTTGTTCCCTGCAGTTGCAGAGTTGTCTTCCTCACTGCCGCCCTGATGCTCCTCCTGGAGGGCTTGGTCCAATGCTCCGTGGCGCAGGTAGTTGTGCAACACACAGGTTGCTTTCACCACACTGTCCACCAGGTCAGGGTTCACCTCCATCGGTTTTTTATAAACCCTGAAGCGCTGGACCATGATCCCAAACACATTCTCTGAGATCCGGCGCGCTCTGGACAAGCGGAGGTTGAAGATGCGTTTGTCTTCTTCAAGACGCCTTCCAGGGTACGGACGGAGAAGGTACGGCTTCATGGGAAAAGCCTCGTCTGCCACGATCACATGGTTGACCTTCCCCAGTTCAGGTGCAGACGGGAGCTCCGCTGGAGGAGGAACATGCAGTGTCCCACGCTGCAGGGCTCGTCCCAGAGCAGAGTCTGCAAATATGCCCCCATCACTGTTCCCACCATAGCTCCCCACATCAATGGCGAGGAAACGGTAATCCGCGTCCACTAACGCCAGGAGGACTATGGAGAAGGTCCCTTTGTAATTATAGAAGAGGGAGCCTGAGTTTGCAGGGGCCTCAATCTGCACATGCTTCCCATCCAAGGCACCAAAGCAATTGGGAAAGTTCCATTTTTCATTGAACCTACAAAAAAATAAGTGTTTATTAATTAATTGATTAGTCCTGAGGGCATGAGTTAAGAGGATACTAAAATTAAACAAAATAAAAACACTAAACATTATTAATTATGAACAATCCAATGCTCAAAGTAAAATAAGAATAGACTTCCTCTTTGCTGTGGTCTTCCAGGTGTCTGCTGTTGGTGTGGGCAGGTAGACTGGCTGGAATTGCCTCCAGATTTGGTCACAGGTCTCCCTCACTATCTTCCCCACAGTGGTGATGCCCAGCCTGCAGCTATTGGCGACGGTGGTGAAAGAGTCGCCTGTGCAGAGATATCTAAAATCAAAGTGTATAAAGAAAGTTATAGTTAGTGAATTTTCTAATAAAACAAAGATGTGTATGTTTGCAGCAGGGAAATACATTGGATTATGGATTATTTTAATGTTATTTAAAGCAAGACCTACACTTGGCCTTGCCTCAGTGAGAACAGTGTGATTTATTTATCTGATGTATTTGTTTTATCTGTGGGCCCTATAGTATAAAGTCCGTGTGTGTGTGTGTGCGTGTCCGTGTGTGTGTCTGTGTGTGCGTGTCCGTGTGTGTGTCTCTGTGTGCTTGTCCGTGTGTGTGTATATGTGTGCTTGTCCGTGTGTGTTCGTATGTCCGTGTGTGTGTGTCTGTGTGTGCTTGTCCGTGTGTGTTCGTATGTCCATGTGTGTGTTCGTGTGTCCGCGTGTGTGTGTGTGTGTGTGTCTGTGTGTGCATGTCCATGTGTGTGTTTTCGTGTATCCGTGTGTGTGTGTGTATTCGTGTGTGTGTGCGTGCTTACCTAAGACACACTGCAAGTCGCTGTTCAGGGCCAATCGGATCACGGAAATGTGTGGTCTTCTTTCTGATGTGCGGCGCAAGTGTTGTCAGCAGCGCATCAAACTGTGCTACAGACATTCTAAATGTACTTTTAAATCTGTCAGGATAACCACGCAGATCTGTAAGAAGGTGGTATTCTCCCCGTTCTGCCCGACTTCTGAGGATGGGGTGGACCCAGTATCGCCTTTTTCTTTTCTTTCTTTTTTCAAGCACTGACAGCAACACAAAATCCTCCTCACTGCTTGATGACTCCATCTTCTCTCACAGATAGCGAAATTTCGTTACGAATATAATAATAAAAACGCATCGGATGCAGTGTGCAAGGTTATTGTGCGTAACAAATGTTTTCGGATGACGCATTCAAAATACGCATCCGAAAATTTCGGACTGGCCCCGACTCCACCGGGTGCGTAAAACGGACGACGGATCCGTCCAAACATGTCCGTTTCATCCCCGTCTCCGTTATCTCCATGAGAGTGAATGGAAGTGGCTCCACTGCCTCCGCATGCGTCCGTCCAACGTACGTCGGACCTATTCCGTCAACGGAGGGTGCAAAAGACGTGGACGGACGAAATAGAAACAATCCTATTTGTTCCGTCCGTCGACGCGTGTCGGGTCCGTTTTTCATTGAAAATGCAATGGAATAATATATTTACAACATTGTTAAACATGTATTGATATATGCTGTAGTCCTTGGTTATAAGTATTTGTTAATGACAATGATTATTAACAAACGTGTGTAATGTTTTTTATGTATTAATTTAAATAATTGTTTCCTGATCGTAAATCTACCATTTATTTTTCGCGTAATGTTAATACGCTAATCTTTACATACACCTCGCTCTTTTTTCTCTCGCTCTGTCCCGTCTACCTGCGAGGCGCTCTCTCCTCACCGCCGCGCGCTCCCAGACAGACAGACAGACAGACAGACAGACAGACAGACAGACAGACAGACAGACAGACACACACAGAGCTGCACTTATGAGAGACAGATCTCACAACACTGGATATGTTGGAGTTCTTTTCTCTCTCCCCTTTTTCCAATTGCTTTCAATAAGTTTTGCCTCATCCATCGCGACGTCCTCAATGCTTCAATATGCACATCACACACCGCTTCTTCTATTTAAAACTATAGCTCTGCCTGTTGCCTAAAGCCGCAGAGAGGCGAGTTGGGTCCCATAAAAGTGTATCATGCGCTAAATAAGTAGAAAACAAACGAAGAGGCTGGATCATAATAAACGCTGCAGTCACAGACCCAAACACACATGCACGCACACGCCTCCCACCACACACACACACACACACACACGGGCGCTCTCACGCACACGCTCACGCACACATGCACGCCGACAATACATAACTCCTCCATCAGCCAAACATTCATTCATTCACACAATGCCCAAACATGTCTCCTACAAAAACAAAGCAGGCTGATAAACGCACAGCCAGAGTTGCTGCTGCTGCAGCCGGTTTGACCACTGGTCCGTTTTACGGACGGCTGACGGACAGCAGCCAACGCGCGTCAACGGAGACGCGCCCGGTGGAGTCCAGGCCTTATTACACTTCTAGCGTTATACGCGCGTATGACGGACGTATGACGGACGTATGACGCGAAGCTGCGCTCTGTTTAGGATGGATTTCTAATTTTGTGCGCGCACCAACGCGTCTCCCATTGAAATCTCATGTAAAACTTTATTTTTCTAGCGGTCCTTGGCTCTAGATCACATCTACACGCACACTGCACTTGTATCTAAACATCAGCAGGAGGAGCAGCAGGTTTTACAGTGATTCTGGACATCGTTTTTTTTCTTTCATAAAGTCTGGCGTCTGGTCAGACCAGCACAGAGACCATGAGGACAAACACATACATGTGATTTGTGTTGCTCTACATCAGTCTCATCATAGACTACACAGGGAGAGCATCAGAAGCCGCGGACCTGCGCGCACGGCCTTAGACAAAGGAAGCAGAGATTCAAATAGAAGAAACTAAAACATGATTCCTTTAAAACACACACACACATATACACACACACACACACACATATATATACACACACACACACACACACATATACACACACACACACACATATATATACACACACACACACACACATATACACACACACACACACACACACACACACACAGAAACACACACAGGACAATTATTTATTCAAGTTAGTCACATGTTATAAACTACTACAAACATTATAAACTACTACAAACATTATAAACGTATACAAACATTATAAACGTATACAAACATTATAAACTAATACAAACATTATAAACATTAGACAGTAAACAGAGACAGTCTGTTCTCGACGCAGGCAGCAGAGGGTCTAGCATCAGGCTCTGAGTCCCAACAGCAGCTCAGCAGGTCCTGCACATCAGGGCTCTGACCACAGACACACTGTATATATTATTTATTATAGATATATATTCATATTATATATTATAGATATATATTCATATTATATATTATAGATATATATATTCATATTATATATTATAGATATATATTCATATTATATATTATATATTATACAGATATATTAATATTATAGTAGTTAGAGCCATAGACAGACGGGACTGACCTGCAGGTGCTGCCCCCAGGTGGCCGGGAGGCTCGGTCTCTGGTTCATGAAGGAAACAAACTGACGCAGCTGCTCCAGAGACACAGTCGGTCCCAGCTCCTGTTCATATGGAAGAAGATGCAGTGGCACGGCTGCACCTGTAGGGGGAGACACATGCTGAGGCACCAACACCCACACTGCACCCTACACACCTCTACGAAGTGTGCATTTGTTCGAAGTGCACACATGGTTGGAGTGCACACATGGTTGGAGTGCACACATGGTTGAAGTGCACACATGGTTGGAGTGCCCACATGGTTGAAGTGCACAAATGTTATATCTAAATGTTATATCTATATCTAAATGTTATATCTATATCTAAATGTTATATCTAAATATTATATCTATATCTAAATGTTAAATGTTATATCTAAATATTATATCTATATCTAAATGTTAAATGTTATATCTGAATGTTATATCTATATCTAAATATATCTATATCTAAATGTTAAATGTTATATCTAAATGTTATATATATATCTAAATGTTAAATGTTATATCTATATCTAAATGTTATATCTATATCTAAATGTTATATCTAAATATTATATCTATATCTAAATGTTAAATGTTATATCTAAATGTTATATCTATATCTAAATGTTAAATGTTATATCTAAATATTATATCTATATCTAAATGTTAAATGTTATATCTAAATGTTATATCTATATCTAAATATATCTATATCTAAATGTTAAATGTTATATCTAAATGTTATATATATATCTAAATGTTAAATGTTATATCTAAATGTTATATCTATATCTAAATGTTATATCTAAATGTTATATTTATATCTAAATGTTAAATCTAAATGTTAAATCTAAATGTTATATCTAAATGTGTCGCCAAGTGTAAAGCTAAATATATAGAAAATATTTAAATCCGCAAGGAAACCACGCCCACTGCAGTGGCTTCAAATCCAGTGGGGGGTCCGCCCCCTTTCCTGAAATGAGTTGCTCTAGTGGCAGGCCGTGGTATTGCAGCCTACGGCTCAAAAGCCCTTTTCGCCATAGACAACCATGTAAAAGGAGCAGCCTGTAAAATGGTCCACGGGGCGTCTGGAGTTTCAGATTAAGGCAAATCTCCACTTATGGAAAGTCACAATAATTAGTTATGTGTTGGAAAATGACGTGTCTATTTGCAAAAGCCTGGCTCTACAAAAGAACAACCACCTTGTGTGAACACTATCAGCATCAGCCAGTAATAAGGACTTTTTGTGCAATATTCCTTATATCCGATGTTATATTTTCTATATGCGACGCTGGGAAGCGGCACCAATATCCCCTACAGAGAAGTGTGGACATCAGGAGGAGCCTCTGGGCTTCAGGCTGGACCTGCAGAGATTGAGGAGCTTCATGTTAAGTCAACAGGGTTTGATTATTAGGAGCCAAACAAATTAGTGATTTACATTTTCACCCTTTTATTGTGTGTATTTTTCTGATTTTTAAACTGTCGTGAAGCACTTTGTGGCTCTTGTCTGTGAAAGGTGCTACAAATACAGAAACAGTGTTCAGGTGTCAGGACTGACACCTGAACACTGTTTCGTTGTGCACTTGTACAATGACAATAAAGCACTTACTTACTAAATAAAGATTACGTACTCACTCAAATAACGTACTCACTCACTCAAATAACATAGTAAACTTACAAAGTACATGAAATGCTGCTAAAGACAGAAACAAACTTACTTGAGGGGTTTGTTAGTTAGCATTTATCCTTGTTTTTAGTCCAAAAAAAACAACTTTTTTTTTAAACAGTTAAAAAAAAATTTTTTTAAATGATTTTTGATGCTTTACAATTCTTTTACGAAGAAAATAAGTCCATGTCCTAAAAATAGTAATTTTAAAGAAAAATATTTGCCTTAATCTGAAACTCCAGACGCCCCGTGGACCATTTTACAGGCTGCTCCTTTTACATGGTTGTCTATGGCGAAAAGGGCTTTTGAGCCGTAGGCTGCAATACCACGGCCTGCCACTAGAGCAACTCATTTCAGGAAAGGGGGCGGACCCCCCACTGGATTTGAAGCCACTGCAGTGGGCGTGGTTTCCTTGCGGATTTAAATATTTTCTATATATTTAGCTTTACACTTGGCGACACATTTAGATATAACATTTAGATTTAACATTTAGATTTAACATTTAGATATAGATATAACATTTAGATATAGATATAACATTTAGATATAGATATAATATTTAGATATAGATATAATATTTAGATATAACATTTAACATTTAGATATAGATATAACATTTAGATATAACATTTAGATATAGATATAACATTTAGATATAACATTTAGATATAGATATAACATTTAGAATTAACATTTAGATATAACATTTAGATATAGATATAACATTTAGATATAACATTTAACATTTAGATATAGATATATTTAGATATAACATTTAGATATAGATATAACATTTAGATATAGATATAACATTTAGATATAACATTTAACATTTAGATATAGATATAACATTTAGATATAGATATAACATTTAGATATAACATTTAACATTTAGATATAGATATAACATTTAGATATAACATTTAACATTTAGATATAGATATAACATTTAGATATAGATATAACATTTAGATATAACATTTAACATTTAGATATAGATATAACATTTAGATATAACATTTAACATTTAGATAAGTAAGTAAGTAAGTAAGTTTTTGTATTTATATACCGCCTTTTCACTGCAGATCTGAGTCTCAAAGCGGTTTACAATTGTTAATATTGGGCATTTGTCTCTCACTCCACACAGAGATGAGAGCGGGGTCGCCAGTACAGGAGGCGCATGCCAGAACTATTGGACATATTTTTAGTGGTAGGGGAAACCGGAGTACCCGGAGGAAACCTACGCAGACACGGGGAGAACATGCAAACTCCACTCAGAAAGGCCCTGGTCCGGCCGGGATTCGAACCCAGGACCTTCTTGCTGAGAGGCGAGAGTTCTATCCACTCAGCCACCGATATAGATATAGATATAATATTTAGATATAACATTTCACATTTAGATTTAGATATAAACATATATATATAATATTTAACATGTATTTGACAACTACATATAACGTGTTGTTTTACATGAATGTCTGTCTTAAATGTGAGGAAAGTGAGCTAAATGTAGAAAAATGTTCAGCTAAAAAAATTTAACAGAATTTTTACAATCGGCACCCCATAGGAGTGCACACATGGTTGGAGTGCACACATGGTTGGAGTGCACACATGGTTGGAGTGCACACATGGTTGAAGTGCACACATGGTTGGAGTGCACACATGGTTGGAGTGCACACATGGTTGGAGTGCACACATGGTTGGAGTGCACACATGGTTGAAGTGCACACATGGTTGGAGTGCCCACATGGTTGAAGTGCACACATGGTTGGAGTGCACACATGGTTGAAGTGCACACATGGTTGGAGTGCACACATGGTTGAAGTGCACACATGGTTGAAGTGCACACATGGTTCGAGTGCACACATGGTTGAAGTACACACATGGTTGGAGTGCACACATGGTTGAAGTGCACACATGGTTGGAGTGCCCACATGGTTGAAGTGCACACATGGTTGGAGTGCACACATGGTTGGAGTGCACACATGGTTGGAGTGCACACATGGTTGGAGTGCACACATGGTTGGAGTGCACACATGGTTGGAGTGCACACATGGTTGGAGTGCACACATGGTTGAAGTACACACATGGTTGAAGTACACACATGGTTGGAGTGCACACATGGTTGGAGTGCACACATGGTGTTTACGTCATCGACTCGTCAGAGATGGTCATTTTCAGACCTAAACTTTATAAAAATTAAAGGTAACTTTGTCTGACCCTTTGGGAAACAATATGAATTGCTTCACACACGTTAAAATACATTTATATTAGTTGTTTTTAAATAGAGATAGCTGTATAATTTTAAGTTAAATGTGGGTAACTAACTATCTGGTCAGTTTTTATACATTCTAAGATTATTGTACTAAGTGTAAAGTTTAAATTGAATGTTTTATAAACGCTTGCTTTAAAAGTTATTAAATTGTTAAAACACAATGTCCGTAATTCTTCATCAGACGTTTATGCTTCTTTCCAAGTAACAGCAAAACTTATTTACACACATACTGCATTTACCAAACCCTGGGTTCAACAGGGGCGACAGTAGCTCAGTTGGTAGAGCATTGGCCTTAAGGCCAGAAGGTCATGGGTTCAATTCCCACCTCTGCACTTTCTCCATCGACTCCCACTGATGACTGCTGTCGTTGTGTCCTTGGGCAAGACACTTAACCCCACTTTGCCCAAAGCCCCCACTGAAAGATCAAGGCTATGCTCACACTCAGAGAGCAGCCTCCTGTGGACTCACCACCTGCAGAGGGTCAGTGAGGGGCTGGTGCTATGAGACTTGGGTGGCATCTCTGATTGCCACCCCCCTGACCCAGAAATGGATTAAAGGGTAGAAAATGGATGGATGGATGGATGGATGGGTTCAAATCCCAGTCGGAACAGGGCCTTTATGAGTGGAGTTTACATGTATATATACAGTGCCTTGGGAAAGTATTCGGCCCCCTTGAACCTTTCAACATTTCAGTCTTCAAACATAAAGATATAAAATTTTAATTTTTTGTCATGAATCAACAACAAGTGGGACACAATCATGAAGTGGAATGAAATTTGTTGGATAATTTAAACTTTTTTAACAAATAAAAAACTGAAAAGTGGGGCGTGCAATATTATTGGGCCCCTTTACTTTCAGTGCAGCAAACTCAGTCCAGAAGTTCAGTGAGGATCTTTGAATGATCCAATGTTGTCCTAAATGACTGATGATGATAAATAGAATGCACCTGTGTGTAATCAAGTCTCCGTATAAATGCACCTGCTCTTTGAGAGTCTCAGGGTTCTGTTTAAAGCGCAGAGAGAACCATGAAGACAAAGGAACACACCAGGCAGGTCCGAGATACTGTTGTGGAGAAGTTTAAAGCCGGATTTGGATACAAAAAGATTTCCCAAGCTTTAAACATCTCAAGGAGCACTGTGCAAGCAATTATATTGAAATGGAAGGAGTATCAGACCACTGCAAATCTACCAAGACCCGGCCGTCCCTCCAAACTTTCATCTCAAACAAGGAGAAGACTGATCAGAGATGCAGCCAAGAGGCCCATGATCACTCTGGATGAACTGCAGATAACTACAGCTGAGGTGGGAGAGTCTGTCCATAGGACAACAATCAGTCGTGCACTGCACAAATCTGGCCTTTATGGAAGAGTGGCAAGAAGAAAGCCATTTCTCAAAGATATCCATAAAAAGTCTGGTTTAAAGTTTGCCACAAGCCACCTGGGAGACACACCAAACATGTGGAAGAAGGTGCTCTGGTCAGATGAAACCAAAATCAAACTTTTTGGCCACAATGCAAAACGATATGTTTGGCGTAAAAGCAACACAGCTCATCACCCTGAACACACCATCCCCACTGTCAAACATGGTGGTGGCAGCATCATGCTTTGGGCCTGCTTTTCTTCAGCAGGGACAGGGAAGATGGCTAAAATTGATGGGAAGATGGATGGAGCCAAATACAGGACCATTCTGGAAGAAAACCTGTTGGAGTCTGCAAAAGACCTGAGACTGGGACGGAGATTTATCTTCCAACAGGACAATGATCCAAAACATAAAGCCAAATCTACAATGGAATGGTTCACAAATAGACGTATCCAGGTGTTAGAATGGCCAAGTCAAAGTCCAGACCTGAATCCAATCCAGAATCTGTGGAAAGAGCTGAAGACTGCTGTTCACAAACGCTCTCCATCCAACCTCACTGAGCTCCAGCTGTTTTGCAAGGAAGAATGGGCAAGAATTCCAGTCTCTCGATGTGCAAAACTGATAGAGACATACCCCAAGCGACTTGCAGCTGTAATTGCAGCAAAAGGTGGCGCTACAAAGTATTAGCGCAAGGGGCCGAATAATATTGCACGCCCCACTTTTCAGTTTTTTATTTGTTAAAAAAGTTTAAATTATCCAATAAATGTTGTTCCACTTCACGATTGTGTCCCACTTGTTGTTGATTCTTGACAAAAAATTTAATTTTTATATCTTTATGTTTGAAGCCTGAAATATGGAGAAATGTTGAAAGGTTTAAGGGGGCCAAATACTTTCGCACTGTATATATATATATATATATATATATATATATATATATATATATATATATATATATATATATATATATATATATATATCGTATATATTATATGTACATATATAGTATATAATGTGTGAGTTTTACCTGTGAACAGGTCGGAGCACCTCATCCAGATCTCCCACAGAACCAGACCCAGAGAATAAACATCGGCCTGAAGGCTCCAGTCACTGTTGAGGTTCACGGACCCCTCCAGGATCTCAGGGGCCCGGTACCTCAGAGCTCCCATCATGCTTTGCACCTGAGAGAGATCACATGACTGTCTGCAGCAGTAAAGGTTTCTCTTTGGGCTAAATATAAGTATTATTATTGCTATATTTCTTTATGTAAATGTTGTGGGAGGTTTTGGTTTAGTGCACTGCCTTAGAAGTCCAGCTGGGGGCGCACCTCTGGGTGGAGTTAGTCTGGGTTAGCCTGAGGCTGGGTTAGCCTGGGTTAGTCTGGGTTAGCCTGGGTTAGCCTGGGTTAGGCTGGGCTAGCCTGGGTTAGCCTGGGTTCTCCTGGGTTAGTCTGGGTTAGTCTTGCCTGGGTTATCCTAGGTTAGTTTGGGTTAGTCTGGTTTATCCTGGGTTAGCCTGGGTTAGTCTGGGTTAGTCTTGCCTGGGTTATCCTAGGTTAGTTTGGGTTAGTCTGGTTTATCCTGGGTTAGCCTGGGTTTGTCTGGGTTAGCCTGGGTTAGCCTGGGATAGTCTGGGTTAGTCTGGGTTAGCCTGGGTTAGTCTGAGTTAGTCTAGCCTGGGTTCTCCTGGGTTAGTCTGGGTTAGTCTTGCCTGGGTTATCCTGGGTTAGTTTGGGTTAATCTGGGTTATCCTGGGTTATCCTGGGTTAGCCTGGGTTAGTCTGGGTTAGCCTGGGATAGTCTGGGTTAGTCTGGGTTAGCCTGGGTAAACCTGGGTTAGTCTGAGTCAGTCTGGGTTAGCCTGGGTTAGTTTGGGTTAGTTTGGGTTAGTCTGGGTTAGCCTGGGTTAGTCTGGGTTAGATTGGGTTTGTCTGGGTTAGTCTAGGTAAGCCTGGGTTAGCATGGGTAAGCCTGGGTTAGCCTGGGTTAGTTTGGGTTAGCCTGGGTTAGTCTGGGTTAGTCTGAGTTAGTTTGGGTTAGTCTGGGTTAGCCTGGGTTCTCCTGGGTTAGTCTGGGTTAGTCTTGCCTGGGTTCTCCTGTGTTAGTCTGGGTTAGTCTTGCCTGGGTTCTCCTGGGTTAGTCTGGGTTAGCCTGGGTTAGCCTACAGACACCTCAAGGACACAGGGACCACAGGGACACAGGGACCACAGGAACACAGGGACCACAGGCACTACAGGGACACAGGGACCACAGGGACACAGGGACCACAGGGACCACAGGGACACAGGGACCACAGAGACACAGGGACCACAGGGACCACAGGGACCACAGGGACCACAGGGACCACAGGGACACAGGGACCACAGGGACACAGGGACCACAGGGACCACAGGGACACAGGGACCACAGGGACACAGGGACTACAGTGTGTTTTTGGGTCTCTAGAGTACAGTGTGTGACATCACTTCTGTCTGTGGGTTCTGTCGTGGGCGGAGAACAGTAGAACATCCAAAGTCACAGATGGCACAGGTTCCATCGGCTTTGACCAGAACGTTGGAGCTGCTCAGGTCTTTGTGAGCCACGGGGGGTTTCCTCAGACCTGCAACACACACAGTCTCTCACACTGACCCCAGACCTCAGACCAGTCTCTCACACTGACCCCAGACCTCAGACCAGTCTCTCACACTGACCTCAGACCAGTCTCTCACACTGACCTCAGACCAGTCTCTCACACTGACCCCAGACCTCAGACCAGTCTCTCACACTGACCTCAGACCAGTCTCTCACACTGACCTCAGACCAGTCTCTCAAACTGACCTCAGATCAGTCTCTCACACTGACCTCAGACTAGTCTCTCACACTGACCTCAGACCAGTCTCTCACACTGACCTCAGACCAGTCTCTCACACTGACCTCAGACCAGTCTCTCACTCTGACCTCAGACCAGTCTCTCACACTGACCTCAGAGTCTCTCACACTGACCTCAGAGTCTCTCTGACCTCAGACCAGTCTCTCACACTGACCTCAGACCAGTCTCTCACACTGACCTCAGACCAGTCTCTCACACTGACCTCAGACCAGTCTCTCACACTGACCTCAGACCAGTCTCTCACACTGACCTCAGAGTCTCTCACTCTGACCTCAGACCAGTCTCTCACACTGACCTCAGACCAGTCTCTCAAACTGACCTCAGACCAGTCTCTCACACTGACCTCAGAGTCTCTCACTCTGACCTCAGACCAGTCTCTCACACTGACCTCAGACCAGTCTCTCACACTGACCTCAGACCAGTCTCTCACTCTGACCTCAGACCAGTCTCTCACACTGACCTCAGAGTCTCTCACTCTGACCTCAGACCAGTCTCTCACACTGACCTCAGACCAGTCTCTCACACTGACCTCAGACCAGTCTCTCACACTGACCTCAGACCAGTCTCTCAAACTGACCTCAGACCAGTCTCTCACACTGACCTCAGACCAGTCTCTCACACTGACCTCAGACCAGTCTCTCACACTGACCTCAGAGTCTCTCACTCTGACCTCAGACCAGTCTCTCACACTGACCTCAGACCAGTCTCTCAAACTGACCTCAGACCAGTCTCTCACACTGACCTCAGACCAGTCTCTCACACTGACCTCAGACCAGTCTCTCACACTGACCTCAGACCAGTCTCTCACACTGACCTCAGACCAGTCTCTCAAACTGACCTCAGACCAGTCTCTCACACTGACCTCAGAGTCTCTCACACTGACCTCAGTCTCTCACTCTGACCTCAGACCAGTCTCTCACACTGACCTCAGACCAGTCTCTCACACTGACCTCAGACCAGTCTCTCACACTGACCTCAGACCAGTCTCTCAAACTGACCTCAGACCAGTCTCTCACACTGACCTCAGACCAGTCTCTCACACTGACCTCAGAGTCTCTCACTCTGACCTCAGACCAGTCTCTCACACTGACCTCAGACCAGTCTCTCAAACTGACCTCAGACCAGTCTCTCACACTGACCTCAGAGTCTCTCACTCTGACCTCAGACCAGTCTCTCACACTGACCTCAGACCAGTCTCTCACACTGACCTCAGACCAGTCTCTCACACTGACCTCAGACCAGTCTCTCAAACTGACCTCAGACCAGTCTCTCACACTGACCTCAGACTAGTCTCCTCACACTGACCTCAGACCAGTCTCTCACACTGACCTCAGACCAGTCTCTCACACTGACCTCAGAGTCTCTCACACTGACCTCAGAGTCTCTCTGACCTCAGACCAGTCTCTCACACTGACCTCAGAGTCTCTCACTCTGACCTCAGACCAGTCTCTCACACTGACCTCAGACCAGTCTCTCACACTGACCTCAGACCAGTCTCTCAAACTGACCTCGGACCAGTCTCTCACACTGACCTCAGACCAGTCTCTCACACTGACCTCAGACCAGTCTCTCACACTGACCTCAGACCAGTCTCTCACACTGACCTCAGACCAGTCTCTCAAACTGACCTCAGATCAGTCTCTCACACTGACCTCAGACCAGTCTCTCACACTGACCTCAGACCAGTCTCTCACACTGACCTCAGAGTCTCTCACACTGACCTCAGACTAGTCTCTCACACTGACCTCAGACCAGTCTCTCACACTGACCTCAGACCAGTCTCTCACACTGACCTCAGAGTCTCTCACACTGACCTCAGAGTCTCTCTGACCTCAGACCAGTCTCTCACACTGACCTCAGAGTCTCTCACTCTGACCTCAGACCAGTCTCTCACACTGACCTCAGACCAGTCTCTCACACTGACCTCAGACCAGTCTCTCAAACTGACCTCAGACCAGTCTCTCACACTGACCTCAGACTAGTCTCTCACACTGACCTCAGACCAGTCTCTCACACTGACCTCAGACCAGTCTCTCACACTGACCTCAGACCAGTCTCTCACACTGACCTCAGAGTCTCTCACTCTGACCTCAGACCAGTCTCTCACTCTGACCTCAGAGTCTCTCACACTGACCTCAGAGTCTCTCTCTCTGGTCTCTCTCTCTGGTCTCTCTCTCTGGTCTCTCTCTCTGGTCTCTCTCTGGTCTCTCTAATAATAAATATAACAATGACCTTCTTTGTAGAGTTCTGAGTGGAGGAAGAGAAGTCCCTGTGATAGAGAGAGACACAACAGTTGTGAGGTCCTCCAGCTGGACGAGTGTGAGCACAGGTACGCGTGAAGAGAACCCTGGAACCACACACACAGAGAGCACAGGTACGCGTGAAGAGAACCCTGGAACCACACACACAGAGAGCACAGGTACGAGTGAAGAGAACCCTGGAACCACACACACAGAGAGCACAGGTACGAGTGAAGAGAACCCTGGAACCACACACACAGAGAGCACAGGTACGCGTGAAGAGAACCCTGGAACCACACACACAGAGAGCACAGGTACGAGTGAAGAGAACCCTGAAACCACACACACAGAGAGCACAGGTACGCGTGAAGAGAACCCTGGAACCACACACACAGAGAGCACAGGTACGCATGAAGAGAACCCTGGAACCACACACACAGAGAGCACAGGTACGCGTGAAGAGAACCCTGGAACCACACACACAGAGAGCACAGGTACACGTGAAGAGAACCCTGGAACCACACACACAGAGAGCACAGGTACGAGTGAAGAGAACCCTGGAACCACACACACAGAGAGCACAGGTACGAGTGAAGAGAACCCTGAAACCACACACACAGAGAGCACAGGTACGCGTGAAGAGAACCCTGGAACCACACACACAGAGAGCACAGGTACGCGTGAAGAGAACCCTGGAACCACACACACAGAGAGCACAGGTACGCGTGAAGAGAACCCTGGAACCACACACACAGAGAGCACAGGTACGAGTGAAGAGAACCCTGGAACCACACACACAGAGAGCACAGGTACGCGTGAAGAGAACCCTGGAACCACACACACAGAGAGCACAGGTACGAGTGAAGAGAACCCTGAAACCACACACACAGAGAGCACAGGTACGCGTGAAGAGAACCCTGGAACCACACACACAGAGAGCACAGGTACGAGTGAAGAGAACCCTGGAACCACACACACAGAGAGCACAGGTACGAGTGAAGAGAACCCTGGAACCACACACACAGAGAGCACAGGTACGCGTGAAGAGAACCCTGGAACCACACACACAGAGAGCACAGGTACGAGTGAAGAGAACCCTGAAACCACACACACAGAGAGCACAGGTACGAGTGAAGAGAACCCTGAAACCACACACACAGAGAGCACAGGTACGTGTGAAGAGAACCCTGGAACCACACACACAGAGAGCACAGGTACGCGTGAAGAGAACCCTGGAACCACACACACAGAGAGCACAGGTACACGTGAAGAGAACCCTGGAACCACACACACAGAGAGCACAGGTACGCGTGAAGAGAACCCTGGAACCACACACACAGAGAGCACAGGTACGCGTGAAGAGAACCCTGGAACCACACACACAGAGAGCACAGGTACAAGTGAAGAGAACCCTGGAACCACACACACAGAGAGCACAGGTACGAGTGAAGAGAACCCTGGAACCACACACACAGAGAGCACAGGTACGCGTGAAGAGAACCCTGGAACCACACACACAGAGAGCACAGGTACGAGTGAAGAGAACCCTGAAACCACACACACAGAGAGCACAGGTACGTGTGAAGAGAACCCTGGAACCACACACACAGAGAGCACAGGTACGCGTGAAGAGAACCCTGGAACCACACACACAGAGAGCACAGGTACGCGTGAAGAGAACCCTGGAACCACACACACAGAGAGCACAGGTACGCGTGAAGAGAACCCTGGAACCACACACACAGAGAGCACAGGTACGCGTGAAGAGAACCCTGGAACCACACACACAGAGAGCACAGGTACGCGTGAAGAGAACCCTGGAACCACACACACAGAGAGCACAGGTACGCGTGAAGAGAACCCTGGAACCACACACACAGAGAGCACAGGTACGCGTGAAGAGAACCCTGGAACCACACACACAGAGAGCACAGGTACGCGTGAAGAGAACCCTGGAACCACACACACAGAGCACCGAGAGGGACCAGAGAGAGACCAGAGAGAGGGACCAGAGAGAGGCCAGAGAGAGAGACCAGAGAGAGACCAGAGAGAGAGACCAGAGAGAGAGACCAGAGAGAGACCAGAGAGAGATGTGCTCGTACGTGTTCCGCGTGTTGAAGGACCAGGAGGTCACAGGAGTCGTTGGAGACGGAGCCGAGGAAGTGGACGACCCCCGAGTGAGACATCAGAGGAAGCTGGAACACCGCTCTCTCTGCTGCAAACTGCAAACTCCAGGATTTTTGGAAGTTCTTCAACACCACACGATGGTTCTGGTATCTGGCCTCACAGACCGTGGAGAACATCCCTTTGTGCAAAATCTGGAACAAGATGAAGTTTAGATGTAAAAGTATTGTTTGGTACAGTACAGTACAGTGCAGTACAGTACAGTGCAGTGCAGTACAGTACAGTGCAGTGCAGTACAGTACAGTGCAGTGCAGTACAGTACAGTACAGTACAGTACAGTAAAGTGCAGTACAGTGCAGTACAGTGCAGTACAGTACAGTACAGTAAAGTGCAGTACAGTACAGTACAGTAAAGTGCAGTACAGTACAGTACAGTGCAGTACAGTACAGTACAGTACAGTACCGTACAGTAACGTACAGTACAGTACCGTACAGTAAAGTGCAGTACAGTACAGTACAGTGCAGTACAGTACAGTACAGTAAAGTACAGTAAAGTACAGTACAGTACAGTAAAGTGCAGTACAGTACAGTACAGTACAGTACAGTACAGTACCGTACAGTAAAGTGCAGTACAGTACAGTACAGTACAGTGCAGTACAGTACAGTACAGTGCAGTACAGTACAGTCCAGTAAAGTGCAGTACAGTACAGTACAGTACCGTACAGTAAAGTACAGTACAGTACCGTACAGTAAAGTACAGTACAGTACAGTACAGTACAGTGCAGTACAGTACAGTACAGTACAGTACAGTAAAGTGCAGTACAGTACAGTACAGTACAGTACAGTAAAGTGCAGTACAGTGCAGTACAGTACAGTACAGTACAGTAAAGTGCAGTACAGTACAGTACAGTAAAGTGCAGTACAGTACAGTCCAGTAAAGTGCAGTACAGTACAGTACAGTGCAGTACAGTACAGTACAGTACAGTACCGTACAGTAAAGTACAGTACAGTACCGTACAGTAAAGTACAGTACAGTACAGTACAGTAAAGTGCAGTACAGTACAGTACAGTAAAGTGCAGTACAGTACAGTACAGTACAGTGCAGTACAGTACAGTACAGTACAGTAAAGTGCAGTACAGTACAGTACAGTACAGTACAGTGCAGTACAGTACTGTACAGTAAAGTACAGTACAGTACAGTAAAGTGCAGTACAGTACAGTGCAGTACAGTACAGTACAGTACAGTAAAGTGCAGTACAGTACAGTGCAGTACAGTACTGTGCAGTAAAGTACAGTACAGTGCAGTACAGTACAGTGCAGTGCAGTACAGTACAGTGCAGTGCAGTACAGTACAGTACAGTAAAGTGCAGTACAGTGCAGTACAGTACAGTAAAGTGCAGTACAGTACAGTACAGTAAAGTGCAGTACAGTACAGTGCAGTACAGTACAGTACAGTACAGTACAGTACCGTACAGTAACGTACAGTACAGTACCGTACAGTAAAGTGCAGTACAGTACAGTGCAGTACAGTACAGTACAGTAAAGTACAGTAAAGTACAGTACAGTACAGTAAAGTGCAGTACAGTACAGTACAGTACAGTACCGTACAGTAAAGTGCAGTACAGTACAGTACAGTACAGTGCAGTACAGTACAGTGCAGTACAGTACAGTCCAGTAAAGTGCAGTACAGTACAGTACAGTGCAGTACAGTACAGTACAGTACAGTACCGTACAGTAAAGTACAGTACAGTACCGTACAGTAAAGTACAGTACAGTACAGTACAGTAAAGTGCAGTACAGTACAGTACAGTACAGTACAGTAAAGTGCAGTACAGTACAGTACAGTACAGTGCAGTACAGTACAGTACAGTAAAGTGCAGTACAGTACAGTGCAGTACAGTACAGTACAGTACAGTAAAGTGCAGTACAGTACAGTCCAGTAAAGTGCAGTACAGTACAGTACAGTACAGTACAGTAAAGTGCAGTACAGTACAGTACAGTAAAGTGCAGTACAGTACAGTGCAGTACAGTACAGTACAGTACAGTAAAGTGCAGTACAGTACAGTCCAGTAAAGTGCAGTACAGTACAGTACAGTGCAGTACAGTACAGTACAGTACAGTACCGTACAGTAAAGTACAGTACAGTACCGTACAGTAATGTACAGTACAGTACAGTACAGTAAAGTGCAGTACAGTAAAGTGCAGTACAGTACAGTACAGTACAGTACAGTGCAGTACAGTACAGTACAGTACAGTAAAGTGCAGTACAGTACAGTACAGTACAGTACAGTGCAGTACAGTACTGTACAGTAAAGTACAGTACAGTACAGTACAGTACAGTAAAGTGCAGTACAGTACAGTACAGTGCAGTACAGTACAGTACAGTAAAGTGCAGTACAGTACAGTACAGTGCAGTACAGTACTGTACAGTAAAGTACAGTACAGTACAGTACAGTAAAGTGCAGTACAGTACAGTACAGTGCAGTACAGTACAGTACAGTACAGTAAAGTGCAGTACAGTACAGTACAGTACAGTACAGTGCAGTACAGTACTGTACAGTAAAGTACAGTACAGTACAGTAAAGTGCAGTACAGTACAGTACAGTGCAGTACAGTACAGTACAGTAAAGCTTGTTAAATGTTGTATTTTGAAGGAGACGGATCATTCTGAGACAACTTTAAATCAATTCAATGTTAATTGTGTATCGCCCTAAATCACAGCAGTAGTTTCTCTGAGGACTTTACAAAACTGTGGATTCTCCAACACAGATCAGAGAATCAGAACGTTCACACACAGAGAAGGTAACGATAACAAACACATTGGTCCATAAAGAGTCCTACACATTTCCTTCTGTGTCAAGCTCAGTCCTGTGACAGTATGATGTCATCAGGATGTCAGTGTCTTAGGACCAGGTGTAGGACCAGGTGTAGGACCAGGTGTAGGACCAGGTGTAGGACCAGGTGTAGGACCAAGTGTGAACACAGCATGGGTGCCTGTAACTATGGCTTTTGTTCTGTCAGAACAAAAAAACATCTGTGTGTTTGTTATCACTGTATTTCCTGAGTCTGTACAGTTGGATTCAGTTGGATTCAGTTGGATACAGTTGGATTCAGTTGGATTCAGTTGGATACAGTTGGATTCAGTTGGATTCAGTTGGATACAGTTGGATTCAGTTGGATTCAGTTGGATACAGTTGGATTCAGTTGGATTCAGTTGGATACAGTTGGATACAGTTGGATACAGTTGGATTCAGTTGGATACAGTTGGATTCAGTTGGATACAGTTGGATACAGTTGGATTCAGTTGGATACAGTTGGATTCAGTTGGATACAGTTGGATTCAGTTGGATTCAGTTGGATACAGTTGGATACAGTTGGATACAGTTGGATTCAGTTGGATACAGTTGGATACAGTTGGATTCAGTTGGATTCAGTTGGATTCAGTTGGATACAGTTGGATACAGTTGGATACAGTTGGATTCAGTTGGATACAGTTGGATACAGTTGGATACAGTTGGATACAGTTGGATTCAGTTGGATACAGTTGGATACAGTTGGATACAGTTGGATTCAGTTGGATTCAGTTGGATTCAGTTGGATTCAGTTGGATTCAGTTGGATTCAGTTGGATACAGTTGGATTCAGTTGGATTCAGTTGGATACAGTTGGATTCAGTTGGATACAGTT